TTAATCCGCCTGTAGGGGGACATGCCCGACCTAACCCTGGGGGGCCCACACAACGTCTCTCCGAAGCAGCTGCAGGCGCTCCAGCGCTCACGCAAGGGTGAGCCGCCTCCGCAGGCGGCCTCCTCCTGGGGTGAAGACTAAGCCCTGGAGCTGTCCATTTGTTTCGCCCTGGAGTCTGCTGGCAGAGTCTGGTGGTCGTTTTTCTATTCATTGTTTTGCCGACCGGCGCGGGTCCTCGCAACCTCCCCCTTTGGCGCCTGTTTCGAGCAGGTGGAGCCTGCCCCACAGGACGCACTGTCGCAAACAGTCGCACAAAGGAGAGGTCCGGAGCCAGACCCCCCCCCTCCCTCCCCCCTTCCTCCCAGTGTCGACACGCCGAAGAACAAAGACGCCAACTGGGCCCGATGACGCACACAGGGAGAAAAAAAAAGCCCTCGCTCCCGCCACCTCCCCCCCCGCGGCGCGAGGTACGGCCGTCTCCCGCCTGGCTACGGGCCGGGGCCGCCGGCCGGGGCAGGGTACGGCCACCAGGCGCCGCGCGCGCTTCGGCGGAGGGGGGGAGCTCCTCGAGGGCCATTTTTCCTCCCTGCGGCGGGGGGAGGGCGAACCCAGACGTGATCGCGTCGTTAACAAAAATCCGGACGGAATGTCTTTCGCTGTTGTCGGACCGTCAGAGAACGACTTGGGAGACACCGGCCCCGGGAAAAGGGCCGGGACTTCCAGGGACGCCGTCCTGAAAAAATCAGGACGTCGCATGTCTGGGAAGAGACCCCCGCGTGCGACGCGCGGCGCCGACGGCGCGCTACGGCCAGAGGCGAGGCCGGCGAGCTCCGCCCGCGCGTCGGCGTGCCGCTGCGGCGGCGTCTTCCTTTTTGTCGCCTCTCCGCTCGCCGCTCCTGAGGTTTGGGTGGAGTGGGGGGGTGGTGGGAGGGGGCAGGGTGTGGGGTAGAGGGGGGGCTACCCTGCCATCCTCGCCAAAATATCACGACGTGGGGTTCTCGGCGTCGGATGTCTTGGTCGGTCAGAGAGGGGGGAGCATGTTTATGTATTTAGTTTTCTTTCTCTCTCTCTCTCTTTCTCTCTCTCTCTGTGCTCTGTTGTGAGCTCTACTCTCCTTTCAACTCTGTTCCCGAGTGCCGGGGGCCCTGCATCTGGCAGCCCGGGAACCTGGTCGCCCACCGACATCGGCCCGCAATCTTCATCTTGTCTTTCAGTGTCCGCTTGGACGCCTTCAGTGCATGCGCCGACTGGGGAACAGCATGCCATTCGAGATGTAGAGGCAACTGCAATCGAAGCACACGTCGAAGCGACGACCAGGATAAGCAGCGGTATGCAAATCATGCTGCACATTTGATTGCGATCGAAATCCACTTGATCTTCACATGCCATTACAAACACATCCGTAACGACATTACGCATCAAACTGCAACCGACACACAGCTTCGAAGTCCACATCGAGCTGCATATCGGTTTGCAACACTATCTGTTAATCGAAATGGAGCTCGGAATTGAAATCTTGCTGCAATGCGAATTGCGCATCATTATCCAAACCAAATTCAGTAATTCATGGCAATCGAAATCCAATCGGGACGCACATCGACATGCCATTGGAAATGAGAATTCAATGCCCGCCCGACATGCACGTCGACGTGAACTTTGAATTTGAAGTTCCCCGTCCTTCCAACCTCCCTTATCCCTCGGAGGGTTGTCATGGTTGTGTTGTCCATTGTGTGGCATGGTCTTGTCTAATCGTGTCCTGTGTGATACGACTTGGTTTGCGTAGTCGAGGAGAGGAGTGTCTAGCGCCTGAGCTAAACTAGCGGACGAGCGAGAGAACGAGCCTCGTCGTGAATGACGCAGTGCGGCACCCTTCTTGAGGGCCAATCGATGCTTTCCGGGGGGGCCTCGCAGGGGCGTCTCGGACGTTGCGAGGTGCCTCTCGGGATCCCTTTCGGCCTCGCAGGGGACTATTCTGCAGTCTGCGTTGCCATGTGGTCGCTGGTGTGGAGCCTCTTCAGAGCCCATCGGGGACTTTTGGAGGGCCTGTTGACGCCTCCTGGGTTTCCTTAGGGGCCTCCTCGGCCATCTTGAGATCCTCTTCGCTCTCTTGGGCCGTATTAGCAGCCTCTTGCCAGCATCTTGCGGGCCTCTCTGGTCGTATTCTGTGCTCCTTGGGACGACGGGCTGGTGGCGTGAAATCATTGGTCCGTTGGGGGACCATATGTCCCCAGACGGGCCAAACACTTGCTATTCAGAGGTTTTGTTTCGCATTGCCTTCCTCGGCCTCCGATACGGACAGGCAAGCCGTAAGATACCAGCCCTTAAGGATAGGAGTGTTCAACGCATTCTGGCCCTAACCGTCCGATTCTTGCAACCGTCGCTGACAATGTCTTCGGACTTTCAGCAGCCCCTCAGGGCGGCGGTTGGTTGACGGGTACTTGCGTAAGTTCTTCCTTTGAGTCCTTCCAGTCCCCCCCAGCTCTTGGAGGTTAATTCAAGCTCCCGCACACCAGATTTCAGTAGGACGGTGGGCATCACGCAGGATCAGGCAACACCACCTGATATTTCACCTCCTCATCCCCCCCCCTTCCCTCTCCTGGTTAAGCTTGTCGTCCCTCTCCTGCCCCCTCCTCATTTTTCCCCAATCAGTGCTTGCACTGGAGGGGCCCCTCGCGGAGGTTGAAGAATTTGGCGAAAGTGTCCCGCCGATTTTGGTCGCACGCTGTTTTCCCGGTTCTGGGTTCCTGGGTTCCCGGTTCCGGGTTAGAGGCCGATTTCGGAGGGCGGCGAGGTTCCCGGGTTTCCCGGTTTCTGGTTGATTTTCTTATCGATCGGTCTCACCATCGATCTCATTACCCCTTTCTCTAGCGATCTCACTAGAGATCGCATGAGCGATCTCGCGATCGATCTCACTATCGATCTCATTGAATCGATTTCACTCTCGGTCTCACGATCGACCTTACAATCGTCCTCACTATCAATTTCATTATAGATTCCATGATCAATCTCACAATCGGTCTCAAGATCCATAGTATTAATTTCCAAATCATCCACTGATTGGGTTTATCTCAGGTGTAATGTATCTGTCCCTCGTTCTCTTCCGCAGTTGCTGTGGCTCAGGCCAGTCCTGTCGAGCGTGCGAACCCCATCGGCTCAGTCTTATCCCCAGACCTCCGACGTCATGATTTGTTGAACGCGTGTCTCCCGAACCTGTCGACACCTTCCAGGGGGACTAGGTTTTCATCCCGGGTAGTGTCTCATGTTATCGGAGCCCGAAACTGGTTTCTGGAGGCCGGAGTCGAGGATTGTGTTTCTCGTCGTCATCGAAAAACAAATCGCGACATCGGTGGTCTGGATACTCCCAGCATGACACAGCGCGCCTCGCTCGGGGCCGCCGCTGGCCTGGCGGCCGTCGCCTGCCTGAAGCAGGGCCAGTCCTTCGTGTCCTCGCAGGGCGCCGCCCGCGCGGCCACCGAGGAGGTGCTCCAGGCGTCGCCCGCGGAAGCGGCCCCAGCCCTGCGCGGCGCTGCCCGCGCCCAGCCCAGCCCCTCGGGGGGCGCGGCGGCCCTGGCAGCGCCGGCGGCCGCCGCCGCCATCGCCGCGGCGGTGGGGTCCAAGCGCCGCGGTCGCGCCAGCAAGCTGGCGGCCGGCCAGGCCTCCGTCGTGCCGGTACGCGCCCCGCGCGCCGGCGTGGCCCGCCGTGCCCTGGACCAGTCGAGCCGCTACGCGGACCTCTCCCTGACGGAGGAGGACCTGATCAAGAACGGCCATCTGCACGAACGAAATGGGTACGGAAAGAATGGATACAATGCCCAACAGCAGTTCCTGTTCATTTTGAACAGGACTCGCTGTCCGCGCCGCCACGGTCTGTGTCAATTTGAGACAGAAGGCCGCCTGCCCAACAGCGGCCGCTGTTGGTTTGGGACAAAATTTGTTGTTGGGCATTGTAACCATTTTTTCTGTACTCATTTCGGGCGTCCAAAGGCCAGCACGTGCTGGTGGCCTACATCATGAAGCCCAAGGCGGGTTACGACTACCTGGCCACGGCGGCGCACTTCGCGGCGGAGTCCTCCACCGGCACGAACGTGAACGTGTGCACCACCGACGACTTCACCAAGACTGTGGACGCGCTCGTTTACTACATCGATCCGGAGAACGAAGAAATGAAGATCGCCTACCCAACGGCCTTGTTCGACCGCAACATTACCGACGGCCGCGCCATGATGTGCTCCGTTCTGACCCTGAGCATCGGAAACAACCAGGGTATGGGTGACGTCGACTACGGCAAGATCTACGATATCTATTTCCCGCCGCAGTACTTGCGCCTGTTCGACGGACCGTCGTGCTGCGTGATCGACATGTGGCGCATCCTGGGCCGCGGCACGGTCGGTGGTGGCCTGGTGGTCGGCACCATTATTAAGCCCAAGCTCGGCTTGCAGCCGAAGCCCTTCGGCCAGGCGTGCTATGGCTTCTGGCAGGGCGGCGACTTCATCAAGAACGACGAGCCGCAGGGCAACCAGACGTTCTGCCAAATGAACGAGTGCATCCCCGAAGTCGTGAAGGCCATGCGCGCGGCCCAGGAGGAAACGGGCCAGGGCAAGCTGTTCTCCGCCAACATTACGGCGGACGACCCGAACGAGATGATCGCGCGCGCCAAGTACATCCTGAATCAGATGGGCCCGATGGCGGAGAATTGCGCCTTCTTGGTCGACGGATACGTGGCTGGCGGCACTGCGGTGACCGTTGCGCGCCGTAACTTCCCGAAGCAGTTCCTGCACTACCACCGCGCGGGCCACGGCGCAGTGACCAGCCCTCAGACGCAGCGTGGGTACACCGCCTTCGTGCACACCAAGCTGTCGCGCGTCATCGGTGCCAGCGGCATCCACACGGGCACGATGAGCTTCGGCAAGATGGAGGGCGATGCTTCTGACAAGAACATCGGCTTCATGCTGCAGGACGACGTGGCCGACGGCCCGTACTACCGCCAGGAGTGGGAGGGCATGAAGCAGACCACTCCGATCATCTCCGGTGGCATGAACGCCCTGCGGTTGCCTGCGTTCTTCGAGAACCTGGGCCACTCGAACGTGATCCTGACGGCCGGCGGTGGGGCGTTCGGCCACAAGGACGGGCCGAAGCAGGGCGCGATCTCGTGCGCCCAGGGCGAGGAGTCGTGGAAGTTGTGGAAGGCAGGCACCTACGGCGACGTGAGCCTGTCGGACGGCGTCGTCGAGTACGCGAAGACGCACGAGGAGCTCAAGGGCGCGTTCTTGACCTTCCAGAAGGATGCGGACCAGATCTACCCGGGCTGGAAGGAGAAGCTCGGCTACACGGGCGAGTCCTCCGTGCAGGCGGCCAGCTTCAACTGGCAGAAGAAGGATTTGGCCGCGGCGTTCGTTGGCGCCAGCACGACTCGCAAAGCCAGCTCCGTGGCCCGCCGTGCCCTGGACCAGTCCAGCCGGTACGCGGACCTCTCGCTGACGGAGGAGGACCTGATCAAGAACGGCCAGCACGTGCTGGTGGCCTACATCATGAAGCCCAAGGCGGGTTACGACTACCTGGCCACGGCGGCGCACTTCGCGGCGGAGTCCTCCACCGGCACGAACGTGAACGTGTGCACCACCGACGACTTCACCAAGACTGTGGACGCGCTCGTTTACTACATCGATCCGGAGAACGAAGAAATGAAGATCGCCTACCCAACGGCCTTGTTCGACCGCAACATTACCGACGGCCGCGCCATGATGTGCTCCGTTCTGACCCTGAGCATCGGAAACAACCAGGGTATGGGTGACGTCGACTACGGCAAGATCTACGATATCTATTTCCCGCCGCAGTACTTGCGCCTGTTCGACGGGCCGTCGTGCTGCGTGATCGACATGTGGCGCATCCTGGGCCGCGGCACGGTCGGTGGTGGCCTGGTGGTCGGCACCATTATTAAGCCCAAGCTCGGCTTGCAGCCGAAGCCCTTCGGCCAGGCGTGCTATGGCTTCTGGCAGGGCGGCGACTTCATCAAGAACGACGAGCCGCAGGGCAACCAGACGTTCTGCCAAATGAACGAATGCATCCCCGAAGTCGTGAAGGCCATGCGCGCGGCCCAGGAGGAAACGGGCCAGGGCAAGCTGTTCTCCGCCAACATTACGGCGGACGACCCGAACGAGATGATCGCGCGTGCCAAGTACATCCTGAATCAGATGGGCCCGATGGCGGAGAATTGCGCCTTCTTGGTCGACGGATACGTGGCTGGCGGCACTGCGGTGACCGTTGCGCGCCGCAACTTCCCGAAGCAGTTCCTGCACTACCACCGCGCCGGCCACGGCGCAGTGACCAGCCCTCAGACGCAGCGTGGGTACACCGCCTTCGTGCACACCAAGCTGTCGCGCGTCATCGGTGCCAGCGGCATCCACACGGGCACGATGAGCTTCGGCAAGATGGAGGGCGATGCTTCGGACAAGAACATCGGCTTCATGCTGCAGGACGACGTCGCCGACGGCCCGTACTACCGCCAGGAGTGGGAGGGCATGAAGCAGACCACCCCGATCATCTCGGGTGGCATGAACGCCCTGCGGCTGCCTGCGTTCTTCGAGAACCTGGGCCACTCGAACGTGATCCTGACGGCCGGCGGTGGGGCGTTCGGGCACAAGGACGGGCCGAAGCAGGGCGCGATCTCGTGCGCCCAGGGCGAGGAGTCGTGGAAGTTGTGGAAGGCAGGCACCTACGGCGACGTGAGCCTGTCGGACGGCGTCGTCGAGTACGCGAAGACGCACGAGGAGCTCAAGGGCGCGTTCTTGACCTTCCAGAAGGATGCGGACCAGATCTACCCGGGCTGGAAGGAGAAGCTCGGCTACACGGGCGAGTCCTCCGTCCAGGCGGCCAGCTTCAACTGGCAGAAGAAGGATTTGGCCGCGGCGTTCGTTGGCGCCAGCACGACTCGCAAAGCGAGCTCCGTGGCCCGCCGTGCCCTGGACCAGTCGAGCCGCTACGCGGACCTCTCGCTGACGGAGGAGGACCTGATCAAGAACGGCCAGCACGTGCTGGTGGCCTACATCATGAAGCCCAAGGCGGGTTACGACTACCTGGCCACGGCGGCGCACTTCGCGGCGGAGTCCTCCACCGGCACGAACGTGAACGTGTGCACCACCGACGACTTCACCAAGACTGTGGACGCGCTCGTTTACTACATCGATCCGGAGAACGAAGAAATGAAGATCGCCTACCCAACGGCCTTGTTCGACCGCAACATTACCGACGGCCGCGCCATGATGTGCTCCGTTCTGACCCTGAGCATCGGAAACAACCAGGGTATGGGTGACGTCGACTACGGCAAGATCTACGATATCTATTTCCCGCCGCAGTACTTGCGCCTGTTCGACGGACCGTCGTGCTGCGTGATCGACATGTGGCGCATCCTGGGCCGCGGCACGGTCGGTGGTGGCCTGGTGGTCGGCACCATTATTAAGCCCAAGCTCGGCTTGCAGCCGAAGCCCTTCGGCCAGGCGTGCTATGGCTTCTGGCAGGGCGGCGACTTCATCAAGAACGACGAGCCGCAGGGCAACCAGACGTTCTGCCAAATGAACGAGTGCATCCCCGAAGTCGTGAAGGCCATGCGCGCGGCCCAGGAGGAAACGGGCCAGGGCAAGCTGTTCTCCGCCAACATTACGGCGGACGACCCGAATGAGATGATCGCGCGCGCCAAGTACATCCTGAATCAGATGGGCCCGATGGCGGAGAATTGCGCCTTCTTGGTCGACGGATACGTGGCTGGCGGCACTGCGGTGACCGTTGCGCGCCGTAACTTCCCGAAGCAGTTCCTGCACTACCACCGCGCGGGCCACGGCGCAGTGACCAGCCCTCAGACTCAGCGTGGGTACACCGCCTTCGTGCACACCAAGCTGTCGCGCGTCATCGGTGCCAGCGGCATCCACACGGGCACGATGAGCTTCGGCAAGATGGAGGGCGATGCTTCTGACAAGAACATCGGCTTCATGCTGCAGGACGACGTGGCCGACGGCCCGTACTACCGCCAGGAGTGGGAGGGCATGAAGCAGACCACTCCGATCATCTCGGGTGGCATGAACGCCCTGCGGTTGCCTGCGTTCTTCGAGAACCTGGGCCACTCGAACGTGATCCTGACGGCCGGCGGTGGGGCGTTCGGCCACAAGGACGGGCCGAAGCAGGGCGCGATCTCGTGCGCCCAGGGCGAGGAGTCGTGGAAGTTGTGGAAGGCAGGCACCTACGGCGACGTGAGCCTGTCGGACGGCGTCGTCGAGTACGCGAAGACGCACGAGGAGCTCAAGGGCGCGTTCTTGACCTTCCAGAAGGATGCGGACCAGATCTACCCGGGCTGGAAGGAGAAGCTCGGCTACACGGGCGAGTCCTCCGTCCAGGCGGCCAGCTTCAACTGGCAGAAGAAGGATTTGGCCGCGGCGTTCGTTGGCGCCAGCACGACTCGCAAAGCCAGCTCCGTGGCCCGCCGTGCCCTGGACCAGTCGAGCCGCTACGCGGACCTCTCGCTGACGGAGGAGGACCTGATCAAGAACGGCCAGCACGTGCTGGTGGCCTACATCATGAAGCCCAAGGCGGGTTACGACTACCTGGCCACGGCGGCGCACTTCGCGGCGGAGTCCTCCACCGGCACGAACGTGAACGTGTGCACCACCGACGACTTCACCAAGACTGTGGACGCGCTCGTTTACTACATCGATCCGGAGAACGAAGAAATGAAGATCGCCTACCCGACGGCCTTGTTCGACCGCAACATCACCGACGGCCGCGCCATGATGTGCTCCGTTCTGACCCTGAGCATCGGAAACAACCAGGGTATGGGTGACGTCGACTACGGCAAGATCTACGATATCTATTTCCCGCCGCAGTACTTGCGCCTGTTCGACGGCCGTCGTGCTGCGTGATCGACATGTGGCGCATCCTGGGCCGCGGCACGGTCGGTGGTGGCCTGGTGGTCGGCACCATTATTAAGCCCAAGCTCGGCTTGCAGCCGAAGCCCTTCGGCCAGGCGTGCTATGGCTTCTGGCAGGGCGGCGACTTCATCAAGAACGACGAGCCGCAGGGCAACCAGACGTTCTGCCAAATGAACGAGTGCATCCCCGAAGTCGTGAAGGCCATGCGCGCGGCCCAGGAGGAAACGGGCCAGGGCAAGCTGTTCTCCGCCAACATTACGGCGGACGACCCGAACGAGATGATCGCGCGTGCCAAGTACATCCTGAATCAGATGGGCCCGATGGCGGAGAATTGCGCCTTCTTGGTCGACGGATACGTGGCTGGCGGCACTGCGGTGACCGTTGCGCGCCGTAACTTCCCGAAGCAGTTCCTGCACTACCACCGCGCTGGCCACGGCGCAGTGACCAGCCCTCAGACGCAGCGTGGGTACACCGCCTTCGTGCACACCAAGCTGTCGCGCGTCATCGGTGCCAGCGGCATCCACACGGGCACGATGAGCTTCGGCAAGATGGAGGGCGATGCTTCTGACAAGAACATCGGCTTCATGCTGCAGGACGACGTGGCCGACGGCCCGTACTACCGCCAGGAGTGGGAGGGCATGAAGCAGACCACTCCGATCATCTCCGGTGGCATGAACGCCCTGCGGTTGCCTGCGTTCTTCGAGAACCTGGGCCACTCGAACGTGATCCTGACGGCCGGCGGTGGGGCGTTCGGCCACAAGGACGGGCCGAAGCAGGGCGCGATCTCGTGCGCCCAGGGCGAGGAGTCGTGGAAGTTGTGGAAGGCAGGCACCTACGGCGACGTGAGCCTGTCGGACGGCGTCGTCGAGTACGCGAAGACGCACGAGGAGCTCAAGGGCGCGTTCTTGACCTTCCAGAAGGATGCGGACCAGATCTACCCGGGCTGGAAGGAGAAGCTCGGCTACACGGGCGAGTCCTCCGTCCAGGCGGCCAGCTTCAACTGGCAGAAGAAGGAACTGAGCTGATAGCCACCAGCAACCCATGAGCTGAGTGCAACCATGGAATGCCCATGGCAAGCACAACACATCACTGTGCAGCTCGATTTCTCCGTTTGCATTGTCCAGCTTCTCAGCTGATTTTCACTGGAGACCTGCTCATGTCTCCGTAACATGATCTCGCGAGTCGTCATCCGGCCAAGTTTGAAAATGTGTTCGGCGCGCCCCCTTCCCCCACGTCGCCCCCGAGCGCCTGCATGCGCGTTCTCCCAAGCAGGTGCGCTCCAGACGTGGGCACGGGGTTCGCCTGGTGGGCTCAGGAGGGGCTCCTGGTTTTCGGGGAGCGCTTCGTCGGTCTGGGCCGGTGGGCCTGATCATGGCCGAGGCGCGGCGTGGCCGGAGAAACGTCTTAAGTTCTTCTGCAGCGCTCCCAGTGGCAGCACGAGTGGATGGGTTTGTTTTACACCACCACCTCCACAAGTTGGAGGGGCGTTCGCTGCTTGCTCCCCAGACCTCCTCGTCCTCATCCTCCTTCCCCCCTCCAAGAAGGCTGCGGCCCCCGAGATATCTTCCAGAGCCGTTGGATCTGAGAGATTCTCGATGTATCCTCACCCGATGTTAACTTCGTCCTGGCTTCGTCTTACTCCTGAGCTGGGAGACCTGACTTGGCATCGCTCGGACGTGTGCATGTATCTCGGTGGGGACCATCGAGGCGCATTTTGGATCATCTTGAGAAAAACTACATCCGACTCATGGACGCAGCCGAGTGGACAACATAACAATCGTGGACGTGTTGTTAGCTCTGCGCGATCCTCCCCTCCTTCTCGTGTCTCTCCTTTTCTTCGTTCAAAAAATCCTGCACTGGAGCAACCATAGAAAACAACAAATCGGGCACAACCAAAAACGGTCGACCTAAACGGTGTTTTGGCGATTTCGTGGGCCGTTTTCGTTTCGACGTCGTTTTGCGGCAAAGGCGGATTGAAGACAAAACCAGGGACAACGAAAACGAAACGAGAACGAACAGCTCTGTCTAGGTCGATCCCTGAGCGATGGCAAAGTTGGAGGCCGGCCTGCGGAGGAGCGGCCTCCGGCGGGCCCGCGACGCTCTCGGGCGCTCCGCTCGGGCGCGGCCAGGCGGCCCCGCCGCCGCACTACGGCCCGCCGCCGGGCTACGCCGCGCCGCCCGGGTGCGCCCCGCCGCGGGGGGCGCGCTGCCCGGGGCTGCCTGCGGCTGTAACGTCGAAGAGTTTGTGTGTGTGTGTGTTTGTTGGGGCCCACTTCGACCGCGCTGAGCGACCGCCAGCGCGGCGACCTCCAAGCAGGTGCCTTTGGATGTGCAGGATGGGTTAGCTCCCGGAGGCCTCCACGGACGCCTCCGGATGCCTCCGGGGGTTCCTGGGCGGGGCGATGGCAACCATCTCAATGCACGTTCCGAGGGGGAATCGGCCCTGACTGATGGTGGGGTGCATGCTACTGGGCATTCGTTTCTTGTCCTCACTGTTTCCGCACGCATCCTCCACTCCACTCACGCGTGGACCCTACCCACGCATTCCACCCCACCATGGGTATCAGTTTCCATCCTCACTCCACTCCACTCCACTCACGCATCTCCACTCCACTCTTTTCCTACCCCCGCCCTCCGAACTACCTTTTCCCTTCTGGCACTTGGCGGCTTTTCCACACCAGTCTAAGTTAGCCAACCTCTCTCCGCAACTTTTCGGGAGAAAGCTCAGACCATGTTTGGTTTACGCAGGCAGCTACCTTAAAAGCAGGGGCAAAGGAGGAAGATGGGCAGGTAAAGAGGAGTGATGAGGGTCCGTAGCCATTTGGGCTCAAGCCCTTAGCGGGAGGATCAAGACTAGAATTATTGGCCTTAGGGACAGGCGGACCCAAAAACGATCCATTGTTTTTCGATTGGGCCTTTTTTGGCTTTATCCCCCACATCTCTCGCGAGCGGTAGCAATGACGTTCAGGTGTTTCTAATTCTTCTGGGGAGCAGCAAGCCTGGATGGGGATTTGAACTGACCCGCATGCGGACGTGCTCGCAACAATTGCAGATGGGTATGGTGCAATCATATCCACAAGCTTCGGTACTGTGCTTCATATTGCAGCAGCGTTTTCTCCTACCCGACAGGCAGGCAGCACATGCAAATATGGACCAGATGGATCAGCGGCTGTTAGGAGGAGAGCGTGCATCACCAGTGAAACCACCGTTTGCAACCATTTCGTCTCAGGCCAGCGGTACCTCGTCCGACCGTTATGTTTCTGAAGAAACTTGTTCGTGTTGCCGCACCACTAGGCAGGGAACGAGTAAGATGCCCTCCAGTATGGAAGGGACTTGGACAATAAGAGGAACCGCATAAATGTTAACCAGCGAAGACACCAAGCAGTATGGTTCTAGGAACATATATATATATATATATATACATGTGTCTGCAAACAAATGTGGTGTTATCCATGTGAAGCACTCGGCGTGGCCCGATGTGAAGCAACGGGTGTAGCGCAATACACATATGTTGCGCAATCTGTGTTGTGCCACCTACGGTGTGCGAGAATATGCGTTGTGCAATATATATGGTCATTGTTTGTGATGCAATATATTAAGCTGCAGTCTGCGTTATGCAATGCATGTCTATCGCGTGTGTGTGTGTGGATGAACGTCTGGTGCAATACATACGGTGTAAGCTATGTAGTGCAATATGACCTGTGAGCGATCTAAAAGAGCGCCGCAGGCGACAACACACATTTGTGCAATCGATGTGCTGCTATAGATGTGGGGCAATCAATGTGGTGCCACCTATGTGGTGCAATCAATCACTTGCTCAATTTGAAGCTGTCCTCTCCACTGTTCGTGCAAACATCCTACCCTCCCACCCGCAACTTGGTCGCAAGACCTCTTCCGACCGTGACGGTAGGTACAAACTTACATTTGGCAACGACACCGCCGACGACGACATCGACAACGACGACGACGACGACGCCGCCGACACCGACTACGACGACACCGATGACGTCTACAACGACTCCGACGACGACAACGACGACGCCGACGCCGACGACGACGACGACGCCGACGACGACGACGACGATGACAACGCCGACGACGACGACGACGACTCTGACGACGCCGACGACGACGACGATGACGCCGACGACGACGACGACGCCGACGACGACGACGACAATGAATATGACGACGACGACGTCGCCAACGAAGACGACGAAGAGGGAGGAGGGAGGACGACGACGGCGACAACGACGACAACGAAGAGGGAGGAGGGAGGACGTCGACGACGCGAACGACGAAGAAGGAGGGAGGACGGCGACGCCGACGACGACAACGACGAGGGAGGAAGGAAGACGACGACGACGACGACGACGACGGCGACGAAATAGGAGGGACGACGACGAAACGCCGACGACGGACGACGACGACGACGACGATGAGGGAGAAGGAAGGACGACCATGGCGACAACGACGACGGAAACGACGACGACGCGACGACGAGGAAAGATAGGACGACGGCGACGACGACGACGACGAGGAAGGAGGTAGGACGGCAACGGCGACGACCACGACGCAAGAGCGCGCGCGTAGGTTTGTTGTTGGAAATACATGTTGCGAGCCCCTGTGCTTTTGCATGTTTTTTGGACACTCGATTTTCCAATCCTTCCGAAACCGAGGTTTTGGAAGGATTTCGGCATGCGCGCGCGACGACGCGCGCGCGCATTTCGCCACGTTTTCTGCAGAGGATTCTCGCGACGGCACGCGCGCAAGGGCGTTCGAACGATTCCGACATGCGCGCACGAAACCCGTTTAGTAGTATTTTTGAAACTCTTGGAACACTTACAGTTCTTTCAGATTTTGCAACCGCGCGCGCGTGATCTGTTGTTTGAAATCAGTGCTGCGAAACCCTGTGCTTTTGTATGTGTTTTGGTGATTCGATTTTGAAATCTTCCGACACCGGCGGTTTTTGGAGGATTTCGGCATGCGAGCGCGACGACGCGCGCGTACGCTTGTCGTCCCATTTGTTGCAAAAGAGTTGCTGGAAATTTGTGACGTTTGATAAGCAGTGCACGCGCATTGTAAGTTTTTGCAGAGGCTGGCGGGGGGGGGGTCGATACGGGACTGGCTGGGATAGTATGAATGCAAAGGTGGGGTGGACATATCCTATGTGTTTTGCATCGGCTCCCGGGGGGTCTTGAACCCCGGGGGGACCGTGGTAGCACATATTTTTCTAGACCGAAAATTATTGTCTGTTCGCAGTGAGTTGTCCACTCCACTGCTCACGCAAACATCCCACCCACCTACCCGCAACTCGGTTTGCAAACCTCATGCGGCGGCGAATGCAATGAGTGCTTGTTGCTAGCTGGTGCATCTTTGCGGCCGCGCCAGCCCGAGCATGCACGCGCAACGGCCAGGTAGTTTGGCGCGACCGACGCGGCTGCGGTGGTGCTGACCGCTCGTCACATCCCATCGTGCATTTGGGTGCGGGTCGGCGACTTGGGCGGGTGCGGTATCATGGCGGCTTCGACGATTGCAGGCACGATGGCGATGATAGCAGCGGTATCGGCGACGATGCTGACAGCGACGCCGTCACGGCCAGTGACGGCGCCGATGCCACTCACGCCGACGACGATGACGGCGCCTTCGCGTCGGTGATGGAGGTTGTGGAAGGGATTCGGAATGCGCGCACGGCAAACGTGCGAGAGTGGCACGCATGGTATTATTTGACACGGATCGTGCCACCCCAGCGCGCGCGAAAGGGCGTTCGAACGATTTCGACATGCGCGCGCGAAACCCGTATGGTAGCATCTTATGACATGTTGAAGCATATGGTTCTTTTTGAAGAATTCGCAAGCGATTGCGCGCTCGTTTCTGTTGAAAATCAGCGTTGCGTTTTTTATTATACCTATAGGACCACCCTTCGGGTGATAAGGAGGTTCGGGGGGAGGGAGGAACCAACGTCTCACTCGATCGGTCTCACTATCGATCTCACTATCGATCTCAGTATCGGTTTCGCTCGATC